CCCCCCCCCCCCCCCCCACACACACACACACACTCCTCCCTACACACACTTTATAGGAAGGAAGCCTGGGTCTCGGAAGGGACTGGGGCCCACAGAGCTGGGTATTGGGCAGAGTTAAAATGTGGACCCTGGAGCCCAGCGCTGTCCCCTTTGCATAAGTGACGTTCACCTTGAGAATAATAACAGCTTCTACCCCCGGGCTCGCGTGTGCCGGCCACCCTGCTGAGGGCGTTCACTCCCAGCATCCCGTTCGGCAGGCAGGAGCCCTTTGATTCAGGATCAGCTGAGTATCTTCAGAGGCCAGAGCACAGAAAGAGATCTCGGCCGGCCGCCACCAGCCACCCCCCTGCCACCCAAGTCTCCTCCGACATAGGGTCGCCACTGAGCTGCCAAATGCATAGAAGTCCCGGAGTGTCCTGAATTTTCACCCTTGGATAACTCTGGCCAGTGCATACTTCGCACCAGGCGAACATCAGATGATTTATCACTGTGACCTTGCTGGGGAGTTGGGGGGTGGAGGGAGAGAGCTTGACTGGTGCCCTAAATTCTCGCTTAATTGGACTCTAGACAGTTCGCAACGCTTCAAGATATAGATTGTTTATTTCCACTGGGCAGAGAAGGGCGCTACGGCTCACAATCGGACGTGAACTTGCCCCAAATCGCACAGCTCGGGAAATGGCCTAGCTCTTAATTCAGAGCTATGTGGGGGCCGCAGTGAAATCACTGATAACGCCCTAGCCCAGTGGTCGGCAAACTCATTAGTCAACAGAGCCCAATACCAACAGGACAACGATTGAAATTTCTTTGGAGAGCCAAATTTTTTAAACTTAAACTATATAGGGAGGTACATTGTTATTAACTTCATTAGGGCCCTCCTAAGGCTTAGGGAGAGCCACACTGAAGGGGCCAAAGAGCCGCATGTGGCTGGCGAGCCGCAGTTTGCCGACCACGGCCCTAGCCGGTTTGGCTCAGTGGATAGTGTCGCCCTGCGGACCAAAAGGTCCAGGGTTCAATTCTGGTCAAGGGCCTGTACGTTGTACCTCGGTTGCAGGCTCCTCCCTGGGGGGCCCTGGTCCCAGCACCTGCAGGAGGCAACCAATCGATGTGTTTCTCTCACATGGATGTTTCTCTCTGTCTTTCCCTCTCTCTTCCACTCTCTCTAAAAATCAATGGAAAAATACCCTCAGGTGAGAATTAAAATAATAATAATAATAATAACCGCCCTAACCGGTTTGGCTCAGTGGATAGAGCGTCGGCCTGCGGACTGAAGAGTCCCAGGTTCGATTCCAGTCAAGGGCATGTACCTTGGTTGCGGGCACATCCCCAGTAGGGAAAGTGCAGGAGGCAGCTGATCGATGTTTCTCTCTCATCGATGTTTCTAACTCTCTATCCCTCTCCCTTCCCGCTGTAAAAAAAAATCAATAAAATATATTAAAAAAAAAATGTTAAAAAAAAATAATAAAATAAATGTTAAAAAAATGAAATTACTAACAACCACCACAGCATACGAGTAGCAGTACTGAGCACATTTAACCCTCTAGGCCAGTGGTTCTCAACCTTCTGGCCCTTTAAATACAGTTCCTCATGTTGTGACCCAACCATAAAATTATTTTCGTTGCTACTTCATCACTGTCATGTTGCTACTGTTATGAATCGTCATATAAATATCTGATATGCAGGATGGTCTTAGGCGACCCCTGTGAAAGGGTCGTTCGACCACCAAAGGGGTCGCGACCCACAGGTTGAGAACCGCTGCTCTAGGCCCTGCTGTGTGGTTTACACTTAATCCTTCATGTAGGACGCCGGGGGCCCTATAACTAACAGGCCAGATTCTCCATCCCAGCAGGGGCCCAGAGAAGGCAGATGGTCAGCAGGCAGTGACAGAGACTGACTATGAATGATCAGGAGCTCATAGTGGACCACAAGTCCTCAAAAAACAGCCTGTGTGAGGTGTTAGGTGTAGGGGTTATGGGACTTTGGAAGCCTCACCTCCTTCAGGCATGTTCCCAATGCCACCTTGTTTGTTAGTAATGCCTTCTGGTTGTCCACTATTTCAAATTTCAGCACCCTCCTACCCCCCAACCCCCCACTCCTGGCAGGCCCCTTTCTTCCTTCATTTCTCTCCAGAGCACCTATTACCATCCACAATACAATATAATTTATTTGTCATGCTTATTTTCTGTCTCCCTCCACTAGAAAGCAAAGGCCATGTGGACAGGAGTGTTTTGGTTTTTATTAAAAATAGGAATTGCCCTAGCCCAGTTTGGTTCAGTGGATAGAGCATGGACCTGCAGACTGAAGGGTCCCGGGTTCATTGCTGGTCAAAGGCATGTACCTTGGTTGTGGGCTTGATCCCTGGCCCTGGTCAGGGTGCATGTAGAGGCAACCAATCGAGGTGACTCTCTCAAAACGATGTTTCTCTCTCTCTGTCTCTCCTCCTCCGTTTCACTCTCTCTAAAAATCAATGGAAGCCCAGCCAGTGTGGCTCAGTGGTTGAGCATCAACCTATGAACCAGAAGGTCCTGGGTTTGATTCCCAATCAGGGCACATGCCCAGGTTGCGGGTTCAATCCCCAGTGTGGGGCAGGCAGGAGGCAGTCGATCCATGATTCTCTCTCATTGATGTTTCTCTCTCTCTCTCTCTCTCTCTCTCTCTCTCTCTCTCTCTGTCTCTCTTGCTCTCTGAAATCAATAAAAAATATTTTTAAAAAGTTTAAAAATTGAAAAGAATAAAAAATAAAAATCAATGGAAAAATATCCTCGGGTGAGGATTAACAAACAAAAAAGAAATTAAATGCCACCAATTGCCGAATATTAATTTTGTATCCTGCTACTTTGCCGAATTCATTTGCTAGATCTAGTGGTTTCTCGGTGGCGTCTTTAGGGTTTTCTATGCGCAATATCATGTTATCTGCGAATAGTGACAGTTTTACATCCTCCTTTCCAATCCGGATGCCTTTCCTTTCTTCTCGGTGGCTGATGGCTGTGGCCAGCGCGGACAGTACCATCTTGACTAACTTGTTCCTGATTTTAAGGGAAACGCTTTTCGTTTTTTGCCCATTAAGTGTGGCCTTGGCTGTAGATGGACAGGGGGTTTGATTTGTTTTGGTTCGCGGCTGGGTCCCGGCACCTAGAACAGAGCCTGGCTGGCACACAGCAGCTGCTCAATAAATGCTGAGGAATGAGGGAGAGCCAGGCAGGAGGAGGAGGAGCTCCCAGGGCTGCTCGCGGAGGGTGCAGACACCCCTGCCCGCCCTCTGACCCGCCCCTCTGCGCCCCCAGGACCCCCGGAACAAGCACAAGTTCCGCCTGCACAGCTACAGCAGCCCGACCTTCTGCGACCACTGCGGCTCCCTGCTGTACGGGCTGGTGCACCAGGGCATGAAGTGCTCCTGTGAGTGAGTCTGCGCTCGCTGCTCCAGCCAGAACCGGGGTTGGGGGGTGGGGGGGGGCGCGCATCTGGGGCCCCTGCAGAAGCGCAGCATCTGGCTTCGGGGAAATGCCGGGGAGTGGAGCCCCGGGTCCCGGGCGGGGCCTGAAGCGCTGCCCCTGGTTTTGTCTCTCCCCCCCGCCCCCCCTTAACCCCCAGGTTGCGAGATGAACGTGCACCGGCGCTGTGTGCGCAGCGTGCCCTCCCTGTGCGGCGTGGACCACACGGAGCGCCGCGGGCGCCTGCAGCTGGAAATCCGAGCTCCGACGGCGGATGAGATCCACATCACGGGTGAGGCCCCGCCCCTCGGAGGCCCCGCCCACATCAACACCCGGGAATGCCACGCCCTCTCGGAGGCCACGCCCATATTAGGCCCCGCCTTCAGAGACTAGCACCACTTGGCCACGCCCCTTTGAACTGGCCGCCCCCATCTCCAGCCTCTTCTCTGGCAACTTTTAGCCCCCATTTTTCCTTAATTTTTTAAAAAATGTATTTTATTGATTTTTTACAGAGAGGAAGGGAGAGGGATAGAGAGTTAGAAACATCGATGAAAGAGAGAAACATCCATCAGCTGCCTCCTGCGCGCCCCCTACTGGGGATGTGCCCGCAACCAAGGTACATGCCCTTGACCGGAATCGAACCTGGGACCCTTCAGTCCGCAGGCTGATGCTCTATCCACCCAGCCAACCTGGCTAGGGCTTCATTTTTTTTAAAAATTATTGATTAAGATATTACATATGTGTCTTGTCCCCCCCCCATTGCCCCCCACCCCCTAATCATGCCCTCACCCTCACCCTCACCCTCACCCCCTGTTGTCTGCGTCCATTGGTTATGCTTATATGCATGCATACAGGCCCTTTGGTTAAGTTCTTTTAATGGCCATGCCAGACCTCAAGGTCTTTGAAAGGGAGGGGGTGAGAGAACGGCCAGGTCCTGACTCCTGGGTCCTAACGGAGGAAGGTCTGATTTTGGGGCAAAGGGTTCTATGCCTTGTCTTCTGCGTACTGGGGAGGTAGGTAGGCAGCAAAACCTCCTGGGCCAAGAGAGAGTTTGGAAGTGTCCATGCTGACCGGGGGTGGGCTAGGGGCCTCTTCCTGGATCTCTAACCCCATCTCCCCTCCTCCCCCTCCCCGCCCAGTCGGCGAGGCCCGCAACCTCATCCCCATGGACCCCAACGGTCTGTCCGACCCCTATGTGAAACTGAAGCTCATCCCAGACCCTCGGAACCTGACAAAACAGAAGACCCGGACAGTGAAAGCCACGCTGAACCCTGTGTGGAACGAGACCTTTGTGTTGTGAGCCTCGGGTGCAGGGGAGGCTGCGACGGCTGACAGAGGATGATCTGAGGGTCCTGGTGGCTCACAAGCCCCCCAGAGAGCAGCTGGTGGGAGGGGTTGGGGTAGAGGGAACACCCAGAAAAGAGCAGAGAAGGAGGGGGAGAAGGAATAGAATGGTTGGGGGAGAGGAATGGAGATGCAGAAGCTGAGAAACAGACATCTATGTATTCAATCGTCATCAAAGCCCAAAGCCCCAAAGAGTGAGACAGAGATGAGGAAGAGTGGGGGGGGGGAGGAGGAGAGAAAGAAAGAGAGAGCTAGCTCAGTTGGTTAGCCGTGGTCGGCAAACTGCGGCTCGCGAGCCACATGCGGCTCATTGGCCCCTTGAGTGTGGCTCTTCCTAAGCCTTAGGAGTACCCTAATGAAGTTCATACCAATGTACCTACCTATATAGTTTAAGCTTAAAAAATTTGGCTCTCCAAAGAAATTTCAGTCGTTGTACTGTTGATATTTGGCTCTGTTGACTAATGAGTTTGCTGACCACTGAAGCATTGTCCTGATAACACCAAGGTTGAGGGTTCCAGGGGTCCTCAAACTTTTTAAACAGGGGGCCAGGTCACTGTCCCTCAGACCATTGGAGGGCCGGACTATAGTTTAAAATAAACAACTATGAACAAATTCCTATGCACACTGCACATATCTTATTTTGAAGTGAAAAAACAAAACGGGAACAAATACAATATTTGTATTTGCATGTGGCCCGCGGGCCGTAGTTTGAGGACCCCTGGATCCCTGGTCAGGACACATACAAGACGCAACCAACGAATGCACAAGTTGATGTTTCTCTCTCTCTCTCTCTCTCTCTCCCTAAAATCAATAAGGGAGAGAGAGAGAGAGAGAGAACCCTAGAACGAGACAGACCGAATAGAGGAGTTTGGGAGCAGAGGGGTGGTGTGATGGGTGGTCGGGTGGCAGGGAAAGAAAGAGAAGCCAATTGACAGAAAGACAGGGACAGAGACCTGGAGAGAAAGACCTGGGGCAGGTAT